TCCCTTAGGAGCTTGTTGACATCTCCTGGCTGCAGGAAGTGGATGCTCTGCCAAGTTTCCCTTGGCCAGACATGGTGACACACAGCTGGCCTAAAGCTCGGGAAAGAAAAGGCTGCAACATGTATTCCTTGGCCTGGCTAAACACAACTTCCACACAAACTTGCACAGCTCACAGCAAGGAGCTCCTGACATGACACAAGGAGCTCCTATGAGTCATTATCAACGAGAAAATTATATTTGTGATGTAGAAAAACATACCCTTGAAAACCCTCTAATTAAGGTCTATTGAAAAGACCTTAATTAGAAGGTTTTCACCTTAATTAGAGGTTCTAAATTTAAGGGGTTTTCATTTAGAGGGTTTTGGGCTGTCTGGGGAGGCCATCACACCGCTCTTTTGAGGAGGCAGTGGATGCGTTCCTCAAGAAATGGAGGTCCTGGTGAGTGGCACCTGAGGGCAACTCCCCTCGGTAAAAGGGTGAGTTACAAACTTTTGACCGACTGTCAACTCCTGTTGGTATAAGGGGGTGAGTTGAATTTTGACCAGCGTGCAACTCCCCTTGGTAAAAGGGTGAGTTGCACTTTTCACCAGCCAGCTTTCATTAAGCACCAACTCCACTAGGTAAAAGGGTGAGTAGAAGTGCAGAAAGAACCAAGAGCGCAGAGAAAAAGGTGTTGGATAGGGTGCTGGGCGTTTCTGGGTGGGAGTGGACTGACAGGGTTTGGACGACAGAGTTTTGAACTATGCCCTTGACAAAAGGGCAACAAACAAACATGGTTGGGACTGGCCGTGTTGGACCATGCCCTTGATAAAAGGGCAATGAACAACCAGGGTTTGAAGTGACAGGATTTGTGGACCATGCCCTTGATAAAAGGGCAATGAACCACCAGGGTTTGTGCAGGCAACTGATCATAGTTTTGTGAATAGGCTCTCCATCATCCAAAGCCCCCTCAGAACTTTCCGTCGCTTGGACCAGAGGTAACCCACTAAATCTATTGGTGAAGGAGAGGAGGTAAGAAGTGCTTGGTCTTTGCTGCCTTGGCTTCAAGGCAGGCATGCTGGGCATGTGGTTTGGCAGCGTCGCAAATCATGGACAGTCGCAAATTGGTTAGCCTTGAGCTAACCTGACGTTCTTAATAAAGCTCCTTGGTTCTGCCAAAAATTGCTTGGAGCCTTTGTGCTGGTGAAATTCTTTGCCTTGCTCCACACCATCGAAAAAAACAAAGGTAATGCAAGAGAGAGCCTCCCAGGTGGGACGCCAACCCCCTTGAATGCACAATGTGCAGTGAGTCTCCTCTCGCCAGTGCAGTGCTGATCCCCTGTACATCAAAAAGGGGATGCAAAACCATCCTTTTATCAAGGAGGGCTTGCTCAGGAGTGACATAGACATAGTCTTGGCGCTCTTCTTTCAGCTCCTTCACTGATTTGCCTTGAGGGCATTTGATGCCGTTGAAAGTTGACTTTTGTGCATCACATTCAGCACATGGAAATTTGTTCTGCCAGTGAGGCATCCCCGGCTGTTGCTACAAAACTCCAAGTCCCCTGCGTAGCAAAAATGAACGCTCTGTGGCATCCAGCTGTCAAAGGCTGGCCAATGGCTGGCCTGCCTTGCCAGCCAAATGCTGCGGCAATGCAGATCCATAAGAGTCCTTGGAGGGATGCCTGCCTTTTATCAAGTCATCGAAGCGCCAACTAATCCAATCATTGAGTGGAGCCCATGTTGTGCCAACAGTGCAAGATTTTGGAAAGGCAGCCAAAAGAATATGCTGATGCAGTGCTGATGCTTGCTCAACATTGAGGCCATGACCAAGTCATCAAGCTATCCCTGCTCTGGAATTCGACTCCATCCCCATGCGCATAGATTGGGCATGTGAGTGCAGGTTGCGCCACCCTTTTTACCAATAGTGGTAGAGGGAGCTGAAAACCAGGTGTGGAAGGAACTGGCAAGCATCTTCTTCTGAAGATTTCCTGGCGCAAGACATCCAGCTGGATTGGCGTTGGTTCACAGAGCTGGATGCCTTTTCAAAAATTTGACATTAAGTCCCTGTGTGCATTCCCTTTCTGCTGCCCAAAGTTTACACAGCTTGCTAACTTGACAATGTGAGCTGACTTGCAGCCTTCTAGCGTAGCAAGATGGCCAATCTCTGCCACGCAAGGCAGAAAGTCGACCCAAAGACCATAGTTCAAGCAATCTGGCGCGTAAGGGGCTGTGTGCTGATGAGGATGCTGATGATGGACAACTCTGCTCCTCACCACTTGCTAGAGCCATCTCTGCCTTCCAACCAGGCACCTTTTAGCAAGGCTTCAATAGCTTGGGCCCAACGCAAACAAATAAGTTGTGTTATTGGATTGAAATCAGAAGTGAGTGGTATTTACCCTGAACACAAACACCCTTTGTAGAAACAAACAGCACCCACAACACAACACTAGGTTTTGGGTGGTTCCCAGCTGCTTTCCCCCACAGGCGCCCCAAGCACAGCAGTTGTTTTCCCCATTCTTTGTTGCTAGTGCTGTGTGCCCACGCCTGGTCATCCTTTTAACCAGGAGAGCCCACGCTGATACTATCCACAAAGCCTTTTACCAAGACAAACGTTAAATAACGCAAGCAAAGGCTTTTCCTCATAGCAAGGAAGAGCTTGTTGCTGGAACAAAAAGTGCTTACAAATTTCCTTTTAACAAGGAAATATGGTACTGCATCACTTCTTGGAGGCCTTGCTGCAAACCTTGTTTGCCAGCTGGTTGAGTTCCTTGGCTTCTTCCCTGAGTTCTTTTGTCTTGTTCATGACATCGACCAAGGCTTGCTTTGCCTTGCTGAAGGTCATTGCTCGTTCCTTCTTTGCCAAAATCATTTTCACCACATTGACATTCCTCATCAAGCCCTCCAGCATGCTCTCAGTGTCACCCTTTGCTTGTTTGGTTAACCTTTTAGCAAGGTCAGCCTTCTTGAGTGCAGCCCCAACATGATGCATGACCACAGCTGCCTGATCTCTGGCTCTCTTGGCTTTGGAAAGAAGTTCCTTCCACTGCTGCTCTTCACTTTTTTCTTCTTCACCATCTTCAATGGCCAATGGGCCAGCTCCCTCGCCTTTGCCTTTCTTACTCTTGCCTTTTCCTTTTTCAAGGACAGGCTTCCACGCCCCTTGCCTTTTGCGCGTGTTTTCCATAAGGCTACGCAAGTCCATTCCACTGACACCATCAAAGTTGGCTAGGTCATCATTGTCTGGTTGGTATTCTTGGCCCTGCACCCATTGCTTGTTGCTTCTCATAGATATCACCCCTGTCATAGTGGTTGTAGATACCAGCTGTCCATGGGTCTTCTCTCCATTGGATGCGACCACTGTCTAGATGCCTGTAGAACTCTTCTTCTCCAAAGCTTTCCAGCATCTTCTTCTCTGACTCCGAGTTCTCCCTTTTATGAAGGGTGCGAGAATGGTCCAAAGACTCCTGGTGGTGGAAGAACTTGGGCACAGTGGTTTTCACCGGACTGCAAGGCAGCCTCAAAGCCTTTCTCAACCTTCCCTTTCTTTTCGAATTCCTTCTGCTCCTTTTTGCTTGTGCCTTTTGAGTGCTGTTTGGTATTTTGACCAAACCCTGCTATGCTCTTGCCGTTCCATCATGTTCTTGAGGTTGGTAGCTTGCTCATCTTCAGGCCTGGCTTCATGACCTTTTTCTTCCCTTTTACCAAGGGTGCCCTTTTCATGGCTGGCTTGGATTTGATGGCTTTGGGTTGCGTACTTCCGTTCTACAATGAATTATTGTAGAGCGTCCCTACCAGCAATTTCGGACGCTCTTGTTTGAGATGGAAACTGGTTTCGCAAGTTGTTTTGCATGGGAAGAAGTCCCGACGTCCTTGGCAGAAGCTTTGCTCTCCCAGTTGCCTTCCGCGTGATGTTTGTCTTACCCCCCACAGCGCGTGTGCGCAGCTCTACCTGTGGCTCAGTCCTCCTTCAGGAACTTCCTGCAGAATGTCGATTCCAAAGCTTGCGCAAGAGTCTCCAACAAGGGTCATTGCCGCGCATGTTCCCCTCCAGGGACATTTGACGAGAGCAGAGACAGACATGCCTGCTGGATGGACGGCGCGCGTCCCATGAAAGTCTGTGTGGCTCAGTCCCTGGTCTTTCTGCCAGCTGTCCACTTTCTAGTGTTGCTGTGTAGACAAAAAGAAAGAACGCTTGGAAGTAATCTCGACATGAGTACCAGACTTGAAAATCGATGTGTCTGGCTTGCGCACGTATGCAGTAGCCCATTTACCTTTACTTTCCCATGTGGAGGCTCAAGCTTTCTCCCGTGGTCTTAGAACGAATTTGTGGTCTCGTATTTCTATATACTGCTCTACTCACGTGACATTTTCTTCTTTGGGTTCGAGTCGCGCTGCTGTTTTTGGATTTTAGCTGAGAAACTGCATTGGTGACATAGACAAGATAACAAACGCTTGGAGGTGGTTTCAACACTCTTGCAGACATGGGATTGAAAGAGCGACGTCATGTGTTGTTTGTCTTGCATGTTGGTCTGGATATGTGTGGACGTCGCTGTTTTCCTTTCCGAATGACTTCCACAAATGTGACGCACACAAAGGGCTCAAGTTCTACCAAGATGCTTCATGAAAGCGCTGTGACCATCAAGTCAGAGTTCCTGACCTGCGTCTTGCCTGGTGGTAAAGGCCTTGAACTTCGCAAAACCCCGTGCTATGGAAACTGACAGTCAGAGTGTGTTTCCACGAACTTATTCTTGGAGGTATTGCTGCTTTTGCTGCCGCGGTTACGCAGCTGCGCGCCCTGGTGACGCCGCTCCCTTCGGTCACTGCGCGCTGGGCGCTGTTGCTGCGAACCCTACGCGCACAAGAAAAAAAAGGGTCGCGCCTCTTCTGACCTTGCTGTTTTCGATCCCTGTCTTTCAATGATCTTTCACATTCGGGTTCGTGGGTTCTATCTTGTTGTTTTTTGTTCACAGACTGGGATTTGGCATTTTCGTGGTCACACACTGTGTGGATCTTGCGAGCCAGGATCCAAGCAGGGGGCATGCAAAAGCTAGGAGAGCCTCGGTGAATTCATGTCAAATCTCAGTGCAATTCAGTTGCGCGTTCGTCGCCCACCAGATGAGGTGTTCCGCGTATCCATTCTTTGTCTTCGCGCAAATGTAATCAATGCTCCAAACATACTGGACCTGTGGTGCATCCACATTTGGTTGTGTAATGCAATTTTCAAGAGAACCATGATGTTCATGTAATGTTCAGTAGTTGGCATCTTTTTTCCATTGTTGGTCCTGATTTTCAATGCAGCCAGCGAAGTTAGGTAGTGGTCCAAGAGCACTTTGATTATGAAGAATTAGTTGCGGGCTCAGCAGCGATTGGCTTTGTGCTCACTTAGAGGACACGGCGTAACGCTCATGATAAACAGTTTGAGGCCAAGGACGCCTTGTTTTTGGTATCTGGCACAACCACCCTCGATGCTGGCACCCTCAAAAAGATAAACGCCGAAAGGCTGAAGTCTCTTGCTGGCACTTTTGTTGTGTATTTGATACATTCCCCCGCACTTGTTTAAATTCAAAATTATGTCCTTTCAGTGGCGCTTAATTTTTGGTTCATCCATCGAATGGCTGTTTGATTAGATGCCTGCCCCCGGTCACTATGAAAAGGCTAAGATAGTTTGTCATGGGATAAATCCTCGCGTATTGAGGTTTCATGCTACATAAGAAACTACCCAAATGTTGAGTTCCCAAGTTGTAGATGGCAAGGAATGGAGAAAAAGAGCTACCAGATGCGATAAATGTGCAGCAACAGATGCACGAGATCGAGGTGCAGACAGGGATTTGGCTGATTGTTGTTGCACACACTTTGACAGATGTTTGTTCCTCGCGTGATGCACCGTTTTGGTTGCTTTAGTTTTTCTCACCCGCAGGCGCGTGGCTTTCAGGTGCTTGGGTGTGGCGTTGGAGATGATGGCAGCCTGCTGCGTGAAGGTGTCCCTCTTCAGGAGGTGAGGACTGGTTGGGCGCGTAGACGTTGCACTAAGCCGCTCATCTCCGATCAAGACCTCCGGCTGAAATGTGGCATGGGCAAGAATGATGATAATGAGGACAGATTTCGACGCCTTCGCAAATTCTTACACCATCTTACACCATGTTTTTTTCATTGTTTGTTTGATGCTTCAAACGTTCGTTCATCATGCTTTTACACCTGTCATGATAGGGTCAACGCCTCCTTTCCTGTTGCTTTTCCTTCAGGACCGATGGCTGGTCCATTACAGACACTATTCCGAGAAGACCAAATGTGGCGTCCTAATTTTAGCAGGTCGGGCTCGACGCATGCGCAGACCCTGTGCGTGCTGCTGACCAGTGCTAGGCTAGGTAAGTCTACGTCGCAAGCCGACGCAGGTAGCGTGGATTTCTTTCGTTTGTGGGCAGCGTCTGATGCCACCAAGCTGCAATGTAGTGTTGATAAAGGTGTTTTTTCACGCTAGTCTACCTTATACAATCACGGTTACCTACCTGCAATCCGAAACGACCGCTCTTTTTTGTCGTATTGAAAACAACCTTTGCCCGAATGCGTAGCGAAGGGTTCTCGTTTAACTCTGGGGGTCTGGGGGCAGACCCTTGTTCGCAACCCGTTGTTTCTATGTTCGCAACCGTCCGCAACCGTTCGCAACCGTCCGCAACCGTCCGCAGTAGAGGCTAAGGCGCTGCCATTGGGGGAAGCTTGTGGAGAGGGTTTCGGATGAAAACGTGACGTGTCAGATTCCTGTGAAATAGCGAGGAATCGTCGTGTGGAAATGTAAGATGTTGAAGTGTGCTGGATGATTTCACTGCGCAGGCGCAACGTTTTGTGAGATCCGCAGTTTGCTGCGCACGTTTGGAGAGTCGTGGTTTTGGGGTGTTGGATGTGGCCGTGCCATTGGGATTTGCGTTTCAGGGTGTGGCATCGAAGCTCTGTTTTCGTGACAAGTCTCAGCTGAAATGGCGATTTTGGTGGATGGGAGTGTGCTCAGAACGGGGCGAAATCATTCCAAACGTTTGGTGAGGTGCAAATTTTGTTGAAGCTCACATGAGATGATATTGTCACTTTTCGTGGCAGGCGCAGTACTTTGTGCGGGCTTTGAGGTGTGGAAGTGCGATTTTCGTGGCAGACGCAGGGAATCGTGAGGTTGCGAGGTGTGACGGAGGTGACATTTCGTGGCAAGGGCAGTACTTTGTGCGCGTTAGACGTGTGGACCCGGAAAGATTCGTGGCAGGCGCAGGGAATCGTGAGGTTGTGAGTTGTGGTAGAGGTGAATGTCGCTGTCACATTGGGATTGGCGTGTGAGCGGGTGTTGTTTGGAGGGGCTGGAATCGCAACTGCTTGGCAGGGCTGCGTGATGCGTGTGCTCCGATGGGTGTTTCCGCTTGACTTTTGGAGGAAGTCTCGTACGAAACGCTCGTTTTGCAGACTTTGATGTGTGACTTTTGAGGAAGTCTCGTACGAAACGCTCGTTTTGGAGACTTGACGTGTGACTTTTTGAGGAAGTCTCGTACGAAACGCTCGTTTTGGAGACTTGACGTGTGATATTTGGAGGAAGTCTCGTACGAAACGCTCGTTTTGGAGACTTGACGTGTGACTTTTGGAGGAAGTCTCGTACAAACGCTCGTCTTGCAGCCTCGAAGCGTGTGTCCTACAAGACTGTCCCAGATAGAGTGTCCCACAAGAGTGTCCCGTATGAGTGTCCCACAAGAGTGTCCCACAAGAGTGTCCCGCAACCGTGTCCCACAAGAGTGTCTCACAAGAGTGTCCCGCAAGAGTGTCCCACAAGAGTGTCCTATAAGAGTGTCCCACAAGAGTGTCCTATAAGAGTGTCCCACAAGAGATCACAAGAGTGCCCTTCAAGAGTGTCCCACAAGAGTGTCTCGCAAGAGTGTCCCGCAAGAGTGTCCTACAGGAGTATCCCACAAGAGTTTCCTACAAGAGTGTCCCACAAGAGTGTCCTACAAGAGTGTCTCACAAGAGTGTCCTACAAGAGTGTCCCACAAGAGTGTCCCACAAGTGTGTCCTGCAAGAGTGTCCTACAAGAGTGTCCTACGAGAGTGTCCTGCAAGAGTGTCCCACAAGAGTGTCCGGCAAGTGACCCACAAGAGTGTCCTACAAGAGTGTCTCACAAGAGTGTCCCACAAGAGTGTCCGACAAGAGTGTCCCATAAGAGTGACCCACAAGAGTGTCCTATAGTGTCCCACAAGAGTGTCCTACAAGAGTGTCCCGTAAGAGTGTCCCACAAGACTGTTCTGTAAGAGTGTTCCACAAGAGTTTCCTACAAGAGTCAGCCACAAGAGTGTCCTACAAGAGTGTCCCACAAGAGTGTCCCACAAGAGTGTCCTATAAGAGTGTCCCACAAGAGTGTCCTACAAGAGTGCCCCGCAAGAGTTTCCTACAAGAGTGTCACACAAGAGTGTCCCACAAGAGTGTCCTGTAAGAGTGACCCACAAGAGTGTCCTACAAGAGTGTCTCACAAGAGTGTCCCACAAGAATGTCCGACAAGAGTGTCCCATAAGAGTGACCCACAAGAGTGTCCTATAAGAGTGTCCCACAAGAAGTGTCCGACAAGAGTGTCGTGTAAGAGTGACCCACAAGAGTGTCCTACAAGAGAGTGTCCCATAAGAGTGAGCCTTCTTCACGAAAGCTCTAGAGAAGTCGGCTGGGCACGGCGCTCGGCCGGTAGCCTTTGCGTGCTGTGCGCGGCGCTTGCTGCTTGCCAAGGGGTCGGATGTCAATGTATGCCCTGGCGTCGGCTGGGCACCGGCGCTCTGCCGGTAGCCTTTGCGTGCTGTGTGCGGCGCTTGCTGCTTGCCAAGGGGTCCGCGCCCTGGCGTCGGCTGGGCACCGGCGCTCTGCCGGTAGCATTTGCGTGCTGTGTGCGGCGCTTGCTGCTTGCCAAGGGGTCGGATGTACGCCCTGGCGTCGGCTGGGCACCGGCGCTCTGCCGGTGGCATTTGCGTGCTGTCTGCGGCGCTTGATGTGCAGATTTCGTGGCAGGCGCAGCACTTTGTGAACCTTCATGCGCAGATTTCGTGGCAGGCGCAGTACTTTGTGAACCTCGTGTGCAGATCTCGTGGCAGGCGCAGCACTTTGTGAACCTCCATGTGCAGATTTCGGGGCAGGCACAGCACTGTGTGAACCTCCATGTGCAGATTTCGGGGCAGGCGCAGCGCTGTGTGAACCTCGAGGTGCGGATTTCGTGGCAGGCGCAGCCCTTTGTGAACCTCCATGCGCAGATTTCGTGGCAGGCGCAGCACTTTGTGAACCTCCATGTGCAGATTTCGTGGCAGGCGCAGCATCTGTGGAGCTGGAAGCTGAGAACTGGCGACTTTGTAGTGCAACTTTAGTACGCGGAGCAATCTGGGGAGCTGGAAGATGAGAACTGGCGACTTTGTAGTACAACTTTAGTACGCGGAGCAATCTGTGGAGCTGGAAGCTGAGAACTGGCGACTTTGTAGTACAACTTTAGTACGCGGAACAATCTGTGGAGCTGGAAGCTGAGAACTGGCGACTTTGTAGTACAACTTTAGTACACGGAGTATCTGGGGAGCTGGACGATGAGAACTGGCGACTTTGTGGTACAACTTTAGTATGCGGAGCAATCTGTGGAGCTGGAAGCTGAGAACTGGCGACTTTGTAGTACAACTTTAGTACGCGGAGCAATCTGGGGGAGCTGGAAGCTGAGAACTGGCGACTTTATAGTACAACTTTAGTACGCGGAGCAATCTGGGGGAGCTGGAAGCTGAGAACTGGCGACTTTATAGTGCAACTTTAGTACGCGGAGTTTCTGGGGAGCTGGAAGATGAGCACTGGCGACTTTGTAGTACAACTTTAGTACGC